GGCCGGGCGCCCGCCGCCCTCCCAGCCCGGGCTCGGCTCCCCTCGCGGCTAACGGGCCTTTGTTTTCGGCTCCGTAGGGCTTCAAAAACAAGCCTAAGAAGAAGGGGCACATTCAGCCTGACCTGATCGACGTGGATCTGATCAGAGGTGAGCGATGCGCGCCAGGGATGCTGGCGCCCGGCCTCCCCCCGCTGCCGCTGCTGCATCGCCGCTTTGCGCAGGGTGGGAAGGGCGAGCCCGCTCCGGGCAGGTTTAGGTTGGACATTAGGAAAAACTCCTTCACCGAAAGGGCTGTCAGGCTCTGGAAGGGGCTGCCCAGGGAAGGGGTTGAGTCCCCATCCCTGGAGGGATTTAAAAGAAGGAGAGATGAGGTGCTGAGGGACAGGGTTTAGTGGTGGGATGGCAGGGTTAGGGGAACGGTTGGACTTGATGATCTCAAAGGTCTTTTCCAACCAAAGTGATTCTATGATTCTAGGTGGTTTTCCTTGGGCCGCTCGGAGCCTGAGTCCATCAGGTTTCTGATGGCAGCAGCACAGAGCCTTGCTGAAGCCCCAGACCTCACCACCAGGGTAGGGTGCCCGTGCTGGCTGGCATTGGTGCAAAAGGAGCATTGTGAACCTGAAAGCAGAGGCAGGAGGCATTTGGGGTGGTTCAGCAAAAGCCACGCAAAGTAGTTGGTGACAGTGGGCTTGGGTAGGTGGGGAAGGGCCAGCAGCCGGTGTGCTGAGATAAGATGAGGGGCTGCTCTTAGATGTGCCTGTGTGAGCTGCGTACGTTGGACAAGTGCCTGAAGTTGGGCTGCTGTCACCCTTCTGACCTGCAGCCTTCTGGCAGGGTTTGGTCTTTGCCAAAGAGGAAGTTGTAAGCAAGGAAATTCTTGTAATTCCCGGTTAATGACCTGTTTGTTTTTCCTTTATTTTCAAGGGTCTACATTTGCCAAAGCCAAGCCTGAAATTCCCTGGACATCGCTAACTCGGAAAGGAATTGTGAGAGTTGTATTTTTTCCATTATTCAGCCAGTGGTGGATACAGGTTACTTCCCAGCGTATTTTTATGTGGCTCCTGGTGCTCTATGTTATGCAAGGTAAGGGGTGGTAGCAGTCTGTGCCACGATCCTTTTTCTGCAAGGAATGCAACATCATTTTGTAGTCCATAATCTAAAGCGGAAGGATCCTGTCTGAAACCTACTTAACGTGGATTTCAAGATGCGTGGCACTAGTGTTGGCAGAAATTATAAACCAGCATAAAAGTAAATAGTTAAGACAGAAGAACTGGGTCATGCTCTTAATTTTTGCATTTGATACAGTTTTCTCCTTTTCAGTCATAGCGGTTGTGTTGTATTTCATGATGCCTGTTGTGAATGCGAGTGAAGTCATGGGACCAATGTGCCTTATGTTACTGATGGGAACTGTTCACTGTCAAATAGTGTCCACCCAGATCAACAAACCTTCGGGAAACAATGGACTCGGCAGGCGGAGGAGGTGAGCGGGGTAGTGGGTTCATTTGTTGGCATCAAAGCATATGACGGATTGCTCGTGGTAGAAGTTAATGGGTAAATACCTTCTATTTTTATGTAAATATGATATTTAACCATAAATGTGAAAAATGAGTATTTTCTGTCTTGCTTGTAATCTTCTCGTAACCAAGCCAAATGCTGCAAGTTTACCAGGCTGTGGTAGATCCAGTTTAGTTGTCAGCTGGGCCTTTTTCTAATGCAGCTTTTAATACAGTTTGGTTTTGTGGCCAGAGGAGGGCATTCTGTGCGGAAAGGCGTCTGCAAGGTCTTGCAAACCAGCCTGGTGTCCTGCTCTAGCATTGACTGCAGGGATGCTGATGTGTATTGAGAACAGGCAAATGCTGACGGAGGTGACTGTGGTGGATTCCTTGCTGGCAATTTGTTTGTGCGTGTGGGAGATGTTACGGTTCATCTACCGGATATGTCACTGTTAGGTGTCTGATGCAGTTTAAACACTGATGCAATATATCTGAGTGCAGGATGATGGATGTGGATAGAGTTTTGCCTCTGTTAAAATCTGGACAAAACCTTTACTGTAGAAATATGTCTGTTGCATCCTTCACTATTGATAGACTGATATTCTGTGGGTATCGGCATGTTAATCCAAATAAAATTTATTTTATTTGGAAATAAGCATTCTGTCTGCATGACTTAAGAAAAAATGGCATCTAAAAGGCTGCTCAAATCTGATTCACATCTTTTAAAAAAGGCCTAAAAGTAGCTTGCTATGCAAAATTAATTCTCCTCTCTTTAAAAATCAGGAAGTTACGCAAATCTGTGGGTGTCGATGGGAACAGTTGGTCTTCTCCTGACAAAAACAGTAAAGAAGAGCAGGCTGAATCTGCATCCATTCTTAACGATTTATGTAGTATGCTTTTCCAAAGGAGGTATGTGATCTTCACTGGGTCTGGTGCATTTGTAGTGACACTGTGAGCCATTTGATACCTGGAAAATGAAGACAGAATGTGTACTGTCACTGACAGCCCCAAAGCCTGCCAACTGGTTTCCTTTGAACTAAAAGCAGTCTTGGTGTTGTAGGAGGCTGATTCCTCACGAATTTTTAGTATGTCCTTCTTAGGAGATCATACCGTGTCCCACGCTACAGCTGAAACTGAGCGTTAGGTGAGTTGCAGAAAGTGGCGGAGCTTACTTTTATTTATCAGATAAGTGACCTTTCTCGAATGTGTACGCTCAAATTATATTACTGTTTTACCTGGTTTCCAGAAGCAATTGTGCCTTCTAGTTTAAGTTGCTTGAATAGTCATCCCACTACCACCTTAACTTGTTCTAAAAATAACTCGAGGAAAAGGAGGATAGATTGTTTGGGATAATAATCCGTTGTCGTCTGCTGCTTTCTCAGGTGAGTCTTGATGAGTTTTCAACTGAGAGGTCCTTTCTCTTGATGAGGACGTCTTGTCTGCTGGATTGCTTTTATTTATTTTTCTCAAAATAATGAGAAAAAATTTCATTCTTGGTTTAGAAATTTTAAAGTACTATCAGATTTACAAAAGAGCCATCCAGTGAGAGTGAAGCAGATGCAAGTCTTTTCAACAGCATCAGGACACAAAGAGCCTGTCAGGAGACGAATGCATTCCCTTAGCTGTATTGTTTGATGTTGTACCTGTGTGGCAAGTGGAAGAGACCTTTATGTTTTCCTCAAAGAGTTTTTCTCTGATACAAAAGCATTTAATTGTATTTTCTCTCATAGGATTAGAAGAGTAAAGTTGGTAGCTGAGAAAGGGACTGAGACAGAAAATGGTGTGAATGCTGTGAATAATGGCATTAAGCACAGACATGCCAGATCTGAATACAGGCTGTTGCACTTCAAAGAGAAAAATAAACTTTCCGATGGGGAAAAGAGCCATCAGGTACTGGCAGGAAAGATCTGTCTGAAGTCGGAAATTTCAGTGTATTCTGTCTTGTGCCCAAAAGTTTGTTGATACTTAACTGTATGGTTTTATCTAATACAAGATACTGCCTGCTACTAATCTTTGCTTGCCTGTGGGAAGTCTGAAAACCCTTTCTACCTCTCAGCTGAACGGCTGACGTGGTGCCAATACTTTACTGTCAGCGTCTGTTACAAGAGTCACATATGTCAAACACAGACAATCCTGGAAGATGTCTGTTTTGCCAAGGTGCTTCTGACCACAAGATGTCCAATTAAGGAAGACTGCTGATAATGATTAAAGATGAATAAATGAGCCATTTTCACAAGCAGTTCTGTAAAATAATTTGCCTTGCAAACAGTTCCCCACAGTATCCTCTTGGGGGGGGAGGCAGGAAATCAAAGACTTGGGGAGAGAGAAAGACAGGAGTTAAAGCATCATGACCTCTCTTGAAATCTCTAAAACATAAAGCTTTGTGGAGTTACTTTTGAGGCTCCTCTGGGTCAGTAAAGTATTAACTCCCACATGAAGAACTTAAATTAAAATCTGTGTGGAACACCGTAGTACTGTGCCATCTCCTCTATTTCTAGGCGTTTGGAAAGGAGCAGAGCTAGGTGTAGGGGGACACATCTCGTGATTTCGGGTCTGCTAGCCACCAGCTTGTAGATAGATACATCTGTCCTCCTGGGCTTACAGTTGCTGGTAAGACATAGCAACGAGCTGCTGCTGCCTCTTCCCATCCTTGCCCCAAATCCAACTTCACCCCACCCAAGATTCCCACTCATTACCTCTGTGGCAAGGCGAGGGAGGGGGTAGGGAGTTAAAATTTGTGATGTCTGTGATGCTAATTTGGATTCTGTTTCTGCATGTTCTGTGGAGATCGTCTGCTGGCTTTTGCAGGTAATTAGAGATTCCTGTGTGTGCCAGTGTAGCAGCAGCACTGGCATTGAACCTTTGGTTTGATGCAGTTCAGGTTGGTCCTTTGTTGGTGCCTTAGTCTTACTTTGACTGCTGTATTTCTAGGATGACTGCACCAACAGGGGCGGTGTTTCTGATGAGCTGTCAAGTGAGGAGGATGCTGAAGCAATGGCACAAAGAATCTTGTTACGCCAGAATGTAGAAGGGGCTTCCAGCGACAATAGCTACGAAGAGAAGAGGAGGCCTCTTGTTTCTTTGAACCAGGCTGTCTCACAGGTACTCACGTTGAACTTGCGCCATTTCCCACGGAGTTTTTTGCTATGGATAATGAGCTGGTTTTCCTTTGGTTTTGGCAGGTCAAGCAAGCCCTTAAAGGTGCCAGAGACTCTGATAGTGTCGTGGAATCTGAACTAGAATCCACATTATATAGTCAGGTATGGTCCTAAACTCAAGGGACGGAGCTTTACCAGGCCTGGCCAGTGCAGGGACATGCCCCCCATTAGAACAGACCATTATTAAATGATAGTGCTTCAGCGTCTTCAGGTGTAAGGTGTGCCCTTCCTCCCTGCTGGTTTGCAGCTTTGTAAGCTTGTTTGCAGTTGTGAGTATACTGCTCTGCTTAACAAAACCAAATCAAACAAAAAAATCACTCTATCCGCAGTGGTCCAAGCTGCTTCAGAGCTCGTGCTGAATTGCTGCAATTACTCTTGTGGTTTGGGAGGAAGCACTGTAGCTTTTATGCTAATAAATTCTGGTTTTAAAATGAAGAAACAAATCTATTCTGTGATATATATTCATTCACTTAATTACTTGGTTTATCTTTCCCCCTGCCACTCCCCCTACCTGAAAATAAAAGAGAAATAGAAGTAAAATTCATGAATATCAAATTATAAATATAAAAATCCATAAATATAAATGAAATCTTAAAATAGATTATTCAAAAACCACAGAACTTTTGCATTAGAATGAATAAGTCCATTTTTATTTTGTAAAGTTGGGAATAGAGGTGGGCAACTAACGCTACCAGTGTGACTTCCCATGTGGAAATGCTGGTTGCAAAAACCTATCACTGCGTAATCCCGTCTGTAACAGTTGGCACCAGGGGCTGCGACTGGGAGCTCGCGGCTGCCCCCGGAAGCTGATGGAGCCGATTGGTGGGGGGCAGGAGGAGGTGGTTCTGCGAGCTGGGTGTGGGGCTCTGCTGTGCAAATCTTGCTCATCTTCAAAGGACTCGAGGTCTTGCATTAGTGTGGGGTCCCGGAGTTGCAGCGTGACCCGGAGAGACTCGGAAAGTACTCGCCATGACTCCGAGACAGAAGATATGCTTTGGGATGATCTGCTTCACGGGCCAGAGTGCCGCTCGTCCTGCACCAGCGACAGCGAGGAAGTGACTGTGAGAGGCACCAGGCGGGATCTGAAGGAAGATGTTTTCCAGCAGGTTTGTTGATTTGTATCCAGTAGCTGAGAATACTGTGAAGGATTCCACACACACACCCCTTTTTCCCCCGTGTCTGCCAAATAATACAACAGACCCGAGTGCTGTTGGTATGATGTGAGCAACCCAGTGCCAGATGAGCCCATTCTGTCAACCATGCTAATCACACGGAAGTCTGGAATGATCTAAATAGTGCCAGTGATCAACTCCCTCCCCCTCCCGGCATTATCTGGACCACTGCTAATCCCAAAGGAAAGTATTTCACCCAAAGACAAACCTGGAATCCCCCTCTTCATCAAAATACTTTCTAGGAAAAAGCATTATTTAATAGCAGGACAAAACCCAGATTATACGTCTTTTGCGTTGTTTTCTCTTTTATAGAACCATTTGTTTTGGCTGCAGAATACAAGTCCAGCATCTGCAAAAGTGAGTGCCCTGATCTGGGAAGGGAATGACTGTAAGAAGGTGGACATGTCTGTGCTGGAGATCAGTGGGATTATCATGAGCAGGGTAAGAGGCCTGTAAGGCATTGCAACCTCTCTCCCGCACGCTTTAAGAAACAACCCCAAAAAACCTGCAGTAGCTATATGTGCAGATATGAAGTGCAGGATAAAACCGGTCCCTCTGAAACTCCAAATACAGTTGTCCCAAATGTTCTTAAAAATTGCAAAAACCCAAATTCAGGTGGTCCTGTTGAAGACTGATGAGAGCCGATTATTGTTGGCCGAGTGTCTGCAGTGTGCTGAAAGTAAGCGGTGGTTTTATTTATTGACTGATTGTTGTTGGAGTGAAATGGGTGGAACTATTTTAGGCTATGTCCTTTGAAGGAAGGGGTCTGGAATGCTTGATTGAATTATGCCGCCATACCAGCATGCCTTTTCCTTGAGAAAAGACCTGGGTAATTCTCCTGGTTTTGTTCCTGCTTGCCAGGTTAACGCCTACCAGCAAGGAGTGGGTTATCAAATGCTGGGGAACATCATCACCATTGGATTAGCATTCCTACCGTTCCTCTACAGACTCTTCCGCACAGATAACCTGGAGCAGCTGTGCTCCATTTCTCTAACGGAGCTTTTGCACATCTTTTGTGGAGCACCTGCTAGCACCCCTGTCATTGTTCTGTCTGCTATCAACTTCCTTGAAAGACTTTGCTTAACCTGGATGTTTTTCTTCATGATGTGTGTTGCTGAGAGAACGTACAAACAGGTAAGTTTACAGGTACTGGTGCCGACCGTGACCCCTGGGGCAGGTGCTCTACCAAAACCATGCTGCCTGTCGCTGAAGACACTGGCAAGACAAGCGTGTCTCAGCAGGCTGAAGTGTCAGAGCTGGTGAGGTGTCCAAGTTTAGTAGGGGAGTCCGGTAAGACTCCTGTTCATCAGTCACAAACTTAAACCTGTCACTACCCTTCCCACCCCTGTGCTCCCCCTCTAGCCCAGCCCTCTGCCCCCAGGGGATAAAATAGCCTCTTAACACCTGGGATGGGACTCTGCGTGGGAGTGTGTGCTTCAGCAGGGAGCTGTTTGTGAAGGAGGAGCCCGCTCAGTTGGCCTGCTCCGAGGTCGGCTGCATCGCACGCTGCTCCCTCAGGCCTGCGGGCAGTAGCTGTGGCCGAGTGGCTGTAGCTGTTGCATGCAGGCAGGCAGGTGGCATTTACTGTTTTAGCGAGAGCTTTGTGGCTAATTTAGCATCGCAACAGCAGTACGCAAGACGGCTGCTCTACCTGAGGGGTCGTGCACCACAGTCCCCCGTGAGGCTTCCCCGGTGTGCCACAAGGCCAACCCTTTCTGCCAGTTACCACTAAGCAATGCCAAGCAATCTTTTTTTGGCTTAGACTAATTGTGTTTGTGTGGGTATGTTTTTGTTTCTCATTTGCAGAGGTTTTTGTTTGCCAAGCTTTTTAGTCACATTACATCTGCTCGGAAAGCCAGGAAATACGAAATTCCTCACTTCAGACTCAAGAAGGTGGAAAACATTAAGATCTGGTTATCCCTTCGTTCCTATCTAAAGGTGAGTTCTAATCCAAGGTGGGGGCATTATTACAGAGGCTGTGACCAAGTCTGTAGGTTCATGTCCTTTACCTGACTGCTGTGGCCAGCACCGCTTGAATCGTTAACTAATGACATCTGCTTGTGGTGAGCCCTGACATCACAGCTCCGCATCCGAACCTGAGACCTGACTCAGTCTTTGTTTCTGCAGAGGCGAGGCCCCCAGCGGTCTGTGGATGTCGTCGTATCGTCGATCTTCTTACTGGCTCTTTCAATTGCTTTTATATGCTGCGCTCAGGTGAGATTTTACCCAAACTACTGGAGGCTTTTCTTCTGCCAACCAACCCAGTACTTGAACTGTAGCTGTTTGTCTCCAAAGTTATACGGAGGGGGTTGCATTTTTTAAAAGCTTTGTAACGCTTAGTTGCTAATAGGTGTTTGTTCTCTGTGTTTGCAGAGGAAAGTCTGGGTTTTTATAAAATCTTTAGGAAAATTTCAGAACATGTGCACAAAGGAAAGGACTCTGCCTAAGGACCTCAGGTGTTCACAGGACATTTTATCTAAGAGGGCTGATTGCAACACCTGCTTAAACCACTGTTATTGGTCTAAGGCTGCCAGTGGGACAAGCATACACAAAAGGAAAGAGATTTTATTACCAGCTAATTGGAAAGCAAAAGAATAAGCACCCTTTCCTAAGCAGAAGGAAAGCAAAAATCAAATTCCAAGCTGAAGCCAGGTTAGAAAAAAGACCTTTCACTGTAACTTAGTTATGTGACTGAGTTACACCTCAAGGGGAAATTGTCAGTAGCTACAGAGCACAGATGCCTGTTCGGACAGGAGTAAGGGCAATGCTTGTGCACTGCTCCAAAGAACAGGCGTGTTTCTTGTTAGTGACGCTGGCATTTCTTTTTCAATACAGGTTCTTAAGGGTCACAAAACATTTCTGAATGCAGCTTACAACTGGGAGTTCCTAATTTGGGAGGCAGCACTTCTTCTCTTTTTACTACGCCTGGCATCTTTGGGCTCTGAAACCAACAAGAAATACAGCAGCATTTCAATCTTGCTCACGGAGCAGGTATCTCCATTTAGCTTGTTCTCCCTTTGGCTTTGGGGTGTGTCTGGAGGCAATAATTGCATTTCAAACATGACTAAGAAATACTGGAATCAAATTTTAAAATTTAGAAATCAACACTTGTGCTGGACAGAGGCAATAAACCACCGTAGAGTGGGGGAGGGACAAGCTCTTAACCATTTGGACAGACTCGCATTCTAAAATTCTAGATTATTTTTGTCTTCGGGTTAATGTGCCAGCTATGCAAACTGGAGAAAGAATGAGATTATCCCTGCTAAACCCCTGTCTGTGGGTGCATCCACTTTAAGTGTGACAGCAGGCTGCAAAAAATGGCTCAAATTTCCCTCAGTTAGAAAATAGTTGGGGGCAAGTGCTGGAAATGAACATCTGGTCTGCAACCTCCCTCTGTCACAGATAAACTTGTACCTGAAGATGGAGAAGAAGCCGAACAAGAAAGAACAGCTATCGCTAGTAAACAATGTTTTGAAACTATCTACGAAGCTGCTGAAGGTAAGCTACCCCGGAAAACTGTGTACAGCTGCTGAATTTTACAGGAGCAATGACAATGACCGCGTGGTTTTGCTCTCCCCATCTCAGGATTCGGTAGGTCAGGGAGCTTTTCTGTGCTTCTGTAGCCATGGCATATGATTAAGCAATACAGGACCTGTGTGATTAATTAGTGCCACGAACCTTTGATTAGTAGCAGCTCACTGTGATTTGGCTAAGTGAGGTGAGCACCGCGTGCCTCCTTACCGCTTCAATCCCTTTGTCCCTCAGCTGCTTCAATGCTGAAGCTTGTTGACAGTAGCCGAGTAGATATTTGGAAAAGGAAGAGCAGCCTAAGCGCCACATAAATTACTCCAGGCAAATTCTACAGCCTGGCGTGTCAAGCTCTTGTTATGCAGCTGGTGTTGCTACAAAGGAGACTTCTTGGATTCAGCATGGCTGTTAGAAAACATCTTCGAGCCGGGAGGCCCGAAATACAGAGTGGGAATTTCTGTACATACATTTAAGTAAGGATACAGAGGCAGCGTGTGATTAGCAAAGCCTGCCAGAGCGCCAGGATTAAGCTACAAGTCAGAAGATTAATTCCTTCTAGTATAGACTAATGCTAATGGACTTTTTTTTTTCCCCTCTCACTGCAGGAATTAGATACTCCATTTAGGCTGTATGGACTGACCATGAATCCTCTGATCTACAATATAACACGTGTTGTAATACTCTCTGCTGTCTCAGGTGTTATCAGCGATCTGCTAGGCTTCAATATCAGAGTAAGTGTCACTCCCCTACAAACCAACGGGAAGCATCTCGTAGGGGTCACTGCCAAATTCCTCCCACCCGCGCAGACAGGCTGTGGGTTTGACTTGGGCTCCCCTGACGTGGCAATTCCGAGACCAGGCCGTGCTGAACGAATCTCCATCTCCCTGTGCCGGGGTGGGGAGGATGGGGCTGACTTTCATTTCAGCCTCGTTCAGCTCTTTAGTGCCCACTGAAAGCAGTCAGTCAGGATCCCGGGTTCCCTCCCTTTGCCATGAAGGCACAGTGCTCCTGTGGCTCACACTTTTAAATCAGAGCTTGCCCAGCAGAGCCGTCAGCGCAGGATGGGCAAAGGAGACTGAGTTTTACCTGTAGATGAAAAGCATTCAGGCCTACGGCTTCCAGACCAGTACTCACGCTCCGTATCTCTTTCCAGTTATGGAAAATAAAACCGTGAACTGACCGAACATCAGCACTCAGCCCTCTCCACCAGAAAGGCAACCAGAGATGACAACCAAGAGCCTGGGCACAAAGCAGAGGCGCTCTCAAACTACAGCAATCTGTAATGACTTTTTTAACAGATTCTCGGTGTACGTATCAAAAATTCTTCCTCTGCTTTGCTGTTCTGTAACATACAGAATGAACTGGTCTAAGTAGCAAAGTCATCCCACGGCACGGACACACAGCACAACAGAATTAGCGGGGCCAAATACAAGTAGCTGGCATTCAGCACAGCAGGAGCCGTGTGCGCACGGTGTGGGGCATCGAACGCGAGAAGCCACGCGAGAGAGACGCCGAGGAGTGCTACAGCTGCCGCCTCTCCACGCGGCCTGAATCCTCTGCCTGTGGCAAGGGGAGAGCCGGGGCCCTGCTTCCCTTAGCAGCAACCTTGTCAGGGGGCTCTGGAGCTGCGCGGAAGTGTTTCCATTTATGCATCCTTCAGCGCTCTGCTCAGACTGGTAATACTGAGCTGCATTTGTCTGAATGTACTGAGGAGCATCTCGGCGTGCGTGAGGCTTTACCTCCTTACCCTGAGCTACTGCAGGATGCAGTGAAACTCGGTCTGCGCAAGAGGAATTCTGCCTCCATGGTGACAGCTGAGCAATACAGCGTCCTCACGCCAGCTGGTTTACATTGGGTCTTCTGCAAATAAACGATCATTGCTTGAAAATAGGAGAACAACCTGACAACACAAACTACAAGTAAAGCATTTATCAGCTACAGAATATTTTGCTATCTTCGTTCCCTGTAACCCCGCCGTTAGGCTGAGCCCAGGCTCTGCGCCAAGGGCGCCCCGGTGTCTCTTTTTCTGACACCCAGCTTCGCTCCGCGCCCTGAGCGGCTGCTGCAGCCCCGCACGGCGATCGTGCCCGACACTGGATACCTGCGGGAGAAATCTGTTGTGAGGATCGGTGGAAGAGCAGTGGCAAAGAGCTCCTCGCCCCGCAGCCGACGAACGCTCAGAAGGGGCAGAGGAGAGAAACCAAATGTTGCGGACATCGGTTGAACTTGCATTTTCCTTACCTGCCTCTATCTTGTGTGAGACCAGTAATGAAAAAAGCAAGGACTGAGGAGCTGTTCATAGTTTCTTTCACATAAGGGGTAAGATGGCATAAGAATTCTGGTAGTAAATTGTTTACAGCTATTTTCTGTACATGGAAGAATTGTGAGGTGTAAAAGGAGATGACAATTTTATATATCCAAGTGTACAAATAAACCTACAGTACAAGTATTTCATGGCTAACAACTGTTTCTACACGACTGGATGAGTTTTGTAATACCTTTGTTGAACAATTGTTACCTGAACAGGGAGTCAAGGAAAACTTCCAGTAATAAATTGCATTTGTTTTCCAGAGGAGTATTACGCTTGCGGGTGAAACCTGGCTCACAGACCCAGCTGTTGGCAGTATCACACCACTGACAGTCAACAAAGAATCTGGTTTATACAGGCCATGAACTAGAGTTTCTTTTTAATATCTATATAAAAAATAATGAGTGATTTACAGGTCTCTCTCTAGTCAGAACCTCAGAAGTATGTATAAAGGTGCTGTACAATATATAAACATTTACACCCAGTACATCCATACATCGCTTAGCATTCCAAGGCCACATTGCTAAGTCATCTGGTACAGTGAGTACAGATACAGATTCTATGGAAGGAGAAATCACACGCAGGTCAGATGCTCAATCAGGTCACATTAACATATAGAAAAAATACAGGGGTAGCGATGACAGGGAAATAACTTCAGTGGTGCTAATTCATCTTGGTATTAAATGCCTGAATTTGTTACTGTACTTGGTGGCTAGGGCAAGTGCATACAACTCAACATAAACCAGAATCTCTTGTTAAGAATACAGGGTTAATATCTACACAGGCTACTTCCAAGTATTAAATATTTTCACAGTCATACTCCCAACAGGGAGTATTTGTACCTATTGCGCTACACAGCAAAACCTCCATGGATCATCCCATGTCAAGCAGCAGAGTGCAGTTCAGATCTGCTTTAAAGCCTATTTAATTTTCAAAGTCTCTAAAAAGTTGTTTTGAGTCGTCATCTGTACTTCTAAAGACTTCAACTGTGCTTTAAAAACATTGAATGTTTCAAAGCCAAAATGAGATACTCGCTCAAACACACACCAAATCCTTACCAGTTTGAATTTTAGCATAAGTAAAGCTTGACCTTTCACACTTCCTTCTCCTTCTGAAACTGGACCTTTGGGCTCCTTGTACCACTTTTTTTGCAGTCATTAAAACCCCAACATGTCAGGAAATCATCACTAAAACCATGAAGAAAATCAACCCTTCAATTTAAGCAGCCCTACAGCCGTCGGACTGCTGTGTCGGTAGATTCTGGTGGCAACATTCCGCTTTCTACAATACGTATTGTAGCCCAAACCATAGATACTAAGTCTCATGCACCCTGGTATCATCCTGTTCAGCACTCTCAGACCAGCTCACGCGTTCCAAGTAACACATGGGAGACTTCTAACGTACACAGGCTAGAACTTCATTTAAGAAGCTACGCTGGCGGTTGGTTCTGTCCTAAAGGTCAGCTGTCACCTCTACAGAGGGAGGACACCCAATGCCTAACTAGCGTTAAGTAATTAACTTAACTAACGGGGTTCAGTACACAGCACCACAATGAGGCTGGAAATAAACGGGCACTCATTGCTTATGTCTACAAAGAGCACGAAGGGTGACGTAGAGCCGCAAGCAAAGCCGAAGGGATTGTGTCATTTAACAGAACCCAGAACTTTCTCTTTTCAGACCAATGTTTGCAAACGTTGCTATCGGCATCCTCATGGATCAAGAAAATAAAGCAATTTTGCTGCATTCATAAAAAGCAAAATTACAAAACATTGATTATGTCAAATATAATTTTTATCTACAGGACTTTGTAGTAGGTATAAAAATTTAAGAAAACATCAACTGATCAGCATCAGTGGCTCGTGCTGCCCTAGAATTGATAGAACCAACTCACCCACCTTTCACTGAGCCCCTAAGAACATGTATTTCCTTATGTAAACATGCAACATGCTCTTGAGAAAATACCCATTTCAAACCAAACCTTGCCTTTCCTGTGACTGGAATACATACGGGAAGGAGTAGATCGACTGGATACAGTAGATAACTTGGCACAAGGACAAGAAGTGAGTCATGATCACATTGGCAATATAGGCATTAAATAATTTGTTCAGAAACTCACAATACTATCTGAGAAAGCCGTAGCAGTGCAACGTTGGGAGCAGCAGAACACCGCCTTCAAAAGGACGAGGGGACAGCAGCTTACGGAAGAGTTTCATTTAAGCAATCCAAAAGGTCCTTCATGCAGCTTAGATAATTTAAGAACAAGTCAAACACTTTCTACCCTCTAACCAGTTTCTAAAAAAAAAAAAAAAAAAAAAAATGACAACTTCATGAAAAGAAGCAATGCTTTTAAATGACCGTTATTAGAAACTTGATTCAAACATGTTCTAAAAAACAGAGTCAGTCAAACCCGTTTTTCAGCCACACCCGCTGTTTGGGTGACTTTACACGCGCTTGGTACCCTCCAAGGTCCAGGAGTTATCGGTGTTTTCTTGACTGGAGAACTGTTCTCAGATTTGGAAATTCCATCATCTTTGGTTTCATGGGGCAGCTCTGCGTGCCTCCCTCTGTGGGGTCTGCTCAGCGTAACGGTCTCCTGTGTTTCCAGCCACCTTTGTTTCTCCGTGTAAAGCAGTGGGATATTGGAAAGACTGGAAGTTTTGAATCTGCTGGAACCTGGCTCTCCAGTGTTTGACTTCTTTATTTTTTCATCTTCAGATGTGTTTCTCCTGGAGTCACTGAGCAGAAGATCATTCTCACCAAATGCTGCATGTTGGCGCTCTGGAGACCACCCTCCCATCCTCCCACAAGTTTTCTGCTTTGCGTCTTTCCTGGTGACTCCAGTTTTGCCATTTCCACCTTTCAATTGCTCAACAGTCGTCTTATCACCACCGGTTGTTCTATCTTGACATTCCTGTAACCTGCCTACCGCTTCTATGTGTCCTTGCGTACTGAGATGCCTTTGGGGACTGGCGGACCTTCCTCGATTTCCACGGGAATATTCTCTTTTGTTACTACTGTTCATCCCTATTTCTGTGGGGTTACCCTCACTCTTTCTGGGACCGTCAGATTTACGTGAGAGACTGCCGTAGGATTTTTCAGGATCCCCTTTTCTGGGGCTGTGGAATCCTGCATGAGGGTGTCCCTCAGCAGCCACGAACTTTTCTGGACTGGCAGATCTGTCTCTTCTGGTCCCCAATCCCAAACTACCTTTTGTGATTTCAAACCCAGGGCTGGAGGGACATTCCCATCTGTTCCTTGTTCTCTGGGGAGAAGACAGAGTCTTCATCTCAAACTGGTTTCCAGTTAAAGTGCTTATCTTTTCAGGCACAGTGTTCTTTGCTTGTTCCAGTTTCTCAGACAGCTGAACTCTCGTTAAAGCTTCTCCTGGTACTGGTAAATAACACACCTCAGACGGGGAAGCAGAATGTGAAGATGAAGGTAATGGTGACTGTTCTTCATATATTACATTTGACGAAGATGGATTAGAACCATCCCAATCACCTGGAAGTAAACAGCAAGAGATTTCACTAAATGACTACCAAAAAAAACCCCAAACCAGCAAACATTTTAGCAACACACATACTACAGAATGTTGTAGGAGATCTTCAATTTAAAGAAGATCATGTAGTGGCATACTCAGAGTCTTACTTATCAGTTTTCTATATTGCATCATTCTACATCCTACAAGAACCACGAGGATGTGATTTGGGGTAAAAACTTGTGCTTCGAATGCTGGCACTCCCTCTGCGGGACTGACACGGACTTGTATCAGCACAGCTTGAGAGCCCGCACCGCAAAGTGCAAAACAGAAAGTCCCTGACCTACGGTGTTTAACGTAAGAAAACCAAATGGACTGAAACCGTTATGCTAAAAGAAAACTGAAAACAGTGAAAAGTCAAGCTTTGCACTTTAATAATAGGAAGAGATGAAACACAAGACATGCAGATTTACCAAGTCTTTAAGGAAAAACCAAGAAAAGCACTGAAAGCCCTTAATGTTGCTCAGGTTTCACGTAGGGACACAGACTGGAAGGAGCCAAACCTGAAGGAGGAAGAGAAAAAGCCCAGGACTACATACCAAAATCAGAGCACAGCAAGCAAGATTTCCATCAGAAACATCTGATTAACAGCGAGACAAGAGGCAACAAACCCCTTCCCCTCTCCACCGCTGCTGATCCAACCTAAGCTGCTTAACCCAGTCTCAGGCCTGGCTTTTGCCAGGGGGCTGGGCCAGACGCTCTCCAGGGGTTCCTTCGGTCTGTTCTAGGGTTCTGTTTCTACCCCAGACTCAGCAGAGGGCCAGGAATGGTTCCGGGCTGCCACTGCGCTGCCCTCGCGGTGCGGGATAAACACCACCGAGCTCAGGCAGCTGCTGGTAAGGAGCGAGCGGCGGCGTCCTCGCCGCCTCCCCCTCTCCTAGCAGGCAAACGCTGATTTTAAAGAGGACCTCAGCAGAAGCTCGTCAGAACACAGAGGACTGTATTTAACTTTCACCCCTAATGAGAAGCTAATTCAGTGTGAGAGACAAAGCCAGGCAGGCAGGCGCCCGGCAGCATGGCAGGGGACAGCCCGAGGCGGCTGCCGCCGAGCCCTGCGCTAATTCACTGCCTTTACTGTGCTCTGCAGGCTGGAACGGGGGGATGTGACGAGCCATCTTCTGGCTCTCCGGAGGAAAGAAATGGAGCAAGTTCTGAGCAGATCCCGTCCCTGGAGCGGACACCAGTTGCTGCCTGTAAATGACTGAATGCACAAACTGCCTGGTAGTTCAAACCGCGTCTTTTAGAATTTTCAAAGGATAAACTCATGGTTGGTCACTGTTACTGGAAACCTGACCTTACCATTTAAGAAGGTTTACCATCAGAATCTTGGTGTGAGCATCAAGGGTTAAGAGATTAAAACCTGCCCTCGGAGAGGGGGCATCCCTTGCTCTAAAACACCACCAGGGCCACAGGTGGTTTTGATTTGTAGTTTTGGAGCATCTCCTACGTCTGACTCAGACCCATCACTCTCCATTCTCTGTAGCTGAACTCAGAGCTCCTGCAAGGATTTGCTTTTCTGTCCTTCCATTTTTTTGCCTACGAAGTTGTGTTTCACAACTTCAAACAAACAGAACCCATCTGGAGAGCGAAGCTGTCCCCCCCCTGCTTCTGAAGTTCTGGTTTTGAAAAACAAAGCGTTTCATAATTTAGAAGGCTAAAACCAGTGAAGTAAATCTATGCAGAAATAACATTCTTAGCAATATAGGCATTGCAAACTGAGTACTGTATCACAGAGAGTTTTAATTTAAATGAAAAGGCGATCGGTGTTCATCCCCACATTGGTACAGAAACACTCGATTGGCTCAGGCAGAGCCGAGAAATGGATGACGGTTACAAACATGCAGTGATTCCACACTGTGCAATATCCCCAGGTACTTGTCAGGTGTTAATTTTACCAAGAACATTCCTTATATTTTAAACCAGACAGGCACACCTGCACAGCTGTGAAAAGGGAACCTCAGTGAACAAGCACAGAAGCCTCCCTGTCAGACGGCACTCCGTTGCCTCGGACCCTCAGAACGGAACAGCGCGTGGGATGACGTACCGTGATCTGGTATCAAGCCAGTCCCTGGTCTCAGCAGCAGCAAAACTTTATTCCCTCCAGCCTGAATCAGCTCAATTGCTCGTGTGTGAGTGATTCCTTGGGTGGGTTCTCCATTAATTTCAACAATTTGGTCACCAACCTGATGAGAAAATAGCAAGCAGGTTAGTCTTTGTGCATCTCTGACACCGTGAACTCATTTTTGATTTAGAAAGACAAAACCAGAGCAGATGCTTCTATCTTTCCTCTCTTGCTAAAACCCACTCAGCAATAGCAGCACCACTGATTAACACGATGCGACGCAACGCTCTGGCGGTTCGGAGATCTCCATGCAGGTCTTCTGCTCAGCCAGCTCAGTGAAAGATCTCAGGTTCCTTAAACACATCTTCCATTTATTTACAAGTCATGAGAGACACAGCCACACGCTTGAATGCATTTTCATTCTGAATCATCGTGCGGAGGGAGCTTAGGGATGAACCGCGCCAACCCGGGCACCAGGCGCCTGCTGAAGTCCCGCTAACCAGGTAACAGCAACTTCTCCACACTTAACGCAGAGCTGAACGCCAGCGTGGCCGAACGGGTTTTACAGGAGGAAAGGATTTTTTATTCCAGGTCGGAGAGATCATCACTGTGCAGTTATCAGTACTGAGGTCTCTGAGGCCCATTAGCAACTTAGAGAGGCACTGGGCAGGTAATTACAGTTCACGCTACCTTTGCAGGCTGCTGGACGGGGCTGGCAGAGCACCCCCCCAAAGCAGGTCATGACACCTATTTCGCCACCCATGGATCAGCCAATGGATGTCACTAGTGCATGAAATTAGAAGTTTGAAGAGACTGCCTGAGCTTTGTTAAATAAACTGCCTCTGCCAAAGGAGGTCACTGGCTGGCTACTCATCGGACAGGACAGGGCGCTCCGCGCCGCACGACGTGCCTCCCGTCACGCTCAGTTGCCATTAACTGGGTGAGAAATTCCTTGTCACTGTTCTAAAGCACAGCCAGAAAATGACAGCGTTTTCCAGCTGAGGAGGGAGAAACCAAACGATGTGAAAATCGTGAATAACCTCACGCTGGGCGAGCGCAGCCCCTCTGTGCTCCGAGCTGCCGGGGACGCACGGCACAGTGCTCGTGGCCCGGCCCCTCCACAGCCACCAGCCCCAGCCAGGGCTGCGGAGGGCTCACGTTCCCCACGGGACGGGACCACCCACCATGGCAGCACGGGCCTCGGCGCCCCCACCACAGCCCAGGCTGGAGCGCTCTCAGCGCTGTCTGGCTGTCACAGCCCCCCCAGCCCGTGCCCCCCAGCTCGTCTGGGCAAAGCACAGAGCAGTCAGCTGGGAACCTTTTGGCTGCTCTTGCCCAGAAAGCAAAGCCCTGGAGCTTAGTGTAGCACCACTGGAAGGAGCAATACAAGAGAAAATATTAGTACTGAATACTACGCTCATGTAGTCTCTCAAGCATGAGGGAAAAAGCTAATTACTGTAAAGAATTAGCATAATAGAAGTTAACAATACTTAGAATTTCACATCCAATTAAGCCCCGCAGTAGCCCCAGCACGTCTCTGTGTCAGTGCTATTCTACAAACTACAGCAGAAAGGAAGGCAGAGCCTCATGCCCATGGCCACAGGGGCTGTGAAGCACCGGGACTGCACGGGGGACGGCACCCCACGGGGGACGGCACCCCACGGGCACCTGGTTCAGCTTCACGCTCCAGCCTCTGAAAATCCTGCTCTGGCAGCAGCCACAGACTCTGACGTAGCGTTGTTCTTTACTATTGTACCCATGCATTTTGCTTTTACTACAGTATTTGAAAGTGAATTCCTTACACAAACCTAAGAATTAACATAGTAATCTTTGAAAAAAATTAGGCTTGTATCTTCAAACACCGCACAGAACAGCAATAGCACAATGTGCACACAAACGTTCCTTCCAAATTCACCAATTCGGAGAGGGATTCTCCTTTCAGCTTTCTGCTCCACTGTGCAATTCCTTGTCTGGGCTCCTAAAGCATCCCCAGTGGCTGCTGCTCATGCCCTGGGGCACGCACGGCATCGTCACTCAGGTGGGGATGGACATGGACGGTTCGCTCTGCATGTCATAGAATCATAGAATGTTTTGGGTTGGAAGGGACCCCTAGAGGTCATCTAGTCCAACCCCCCCCGCAGGAGCAGGGACACCGCTACCTAGATCAGGCTGCTCCGGAGGCGTTCAGGTGCTTCTCCCCTAAAGCCGACGGCCACGGCACTTGCTGTCACTGCGCAGAGCAGTCCCAACGCTGCGCTGCCTGCTGGGACCCCGCGCTCACCGAGAGCAAGGTTTGGTCCCACTGCAGGGGAATTAACACATCAAAAGGCCAACTTGATCAACCAACTGAATAGGAAAGACAGACTCACATGAACTCTCCCATCTTTGACAGCCGGCCCATCTTCGGCAAGTCGAAGGATGAATAAGCCCATGTTGTATTCCTTTCCTCCTCGAAGGCTGAACCCAAATCCTCGAGGGCCCCTTTCCAACTCCACTGGGAAACAGCCAGGATTCTGTGTGGGAAGTCAGAGGGAAAAAAAATGAGGACCTGTAGGCAGTCTAAACATTTTCCTGGAAAAACGCTTCACACATTTCTGTAGTTTGAGAAACGTGCAATCCACAATTCAAACTGAATTAATCACAATTCGCGGGTGACCAGGTGTAATGGTTTCATTCTAACTCTAAACATACGGAATGTTTTTCCTTTTCAGTTTGATACTCATGGAATTTCTTTAAGAAGCTTTGCCAAGGGTCTGTAGTAGGCCCCGTTGCCAGCACTTTGTGTCTTTTATGATTATAGCGAGCACTCAGCTGTACTGAGGAGATAATCACATTTAAAACATCAGCAAAAACATCCTGCGACACACTTCGGTGCGTTTTTAGCCCATGTCTGACAGGGAAGCGTTTTACTGTTCCGCTCCTGAACGCTCCGTGGCAATGCCACCCTAGCGCCTTGGCGAGCGGGCGTTTCGCACGGCTCTGCACCCTCCGGAGGGCTACCTGCGCCTGGGAATGGCGGCCACCAGTCACTGAAGCGACGCCGGCATCCGATTGTGCCAAGTGCTTGTGCTCGGGCCAGGACAGCCGGTAGCTGTTTGAAGCTTCTTTTCCAGCTTCACCTTCTGTAGCTCCCCTACAGGGAGGCAAAAGGACGGGGATGTTACCTTCGCATTACCAAACCCTCCGGTCGAGCTTCCCTACCCGTCCTCGGTCCCTTTGCTTCTGGCAGAAAGCTCCGTACCTGTCTGCACTGGGAGGGCTGATCTGTGCTGATCCCAGCGGCCGGTGCTGCGGAGCCGGGCTCTGCCTGGCGGAGTTCGTTCCCGACGGAGGACCACGGTGTTCTAACAAATTCAAACAAAACCCAAAGTCAGCACGAGGTTCCCAGGGCGGCCAGCACACCCACCACGAGGCCACGGTGGCCACCAGCGCCACGGCTGCTGTTCCTCAGGACGCGGCTGCCACCGCGCCGCAGGCTGGGCTGAGCTCGCCACAGCCACGAGGTGAAGGGGATTTTCCAAGGTCTAACGCCGTAAGCCAGGAACTCAAGCGCAGTTCTTTGGTTCCATGGAGTTCTAGGAATTCTATTCTTACCTACGCTGCTTCTCCTCAGAAGACAAAACCATTTTAACTGAACCAGACATGAACAGAAGGGGTTTAGTTTAAGATCATTTTCCCTTCCACACAAAATACAGCGATTGTGCACTTTACAATAAATCTGGTGCATTTATGAAAAAAAAAAAAAGTGGTTTTTTTTTGTTTCAGGATCCACAATGTCTCTGTCAGTGAAGAGTATGAGCCAGAGTCTATGCAAAAAGCTGCCTCTTAGCTAGAGCCTGAAATGGCAAGTTGTGGCCCAAGATGAACTTAAGTACTGAATTATAAAGTAATAAACTCCTTTTCCTCCTAAGGGTTAAAAAAACCCTAAATCCCAAGCACCCAAATCAGATCTGCTCCAGTCCTCCGTTAGGTGCATCACGTTGCTGCACTTCCCAGTTAAGAGCAAACAAACCCCAGTAAAACACAGAAAGCGCTCGAGCATCGTAAGGGAAGGAAAACAAAATGGGAATGATGAGAGTGAACGCCCCAGGTACGCGGGAGCTCCCGAGTCCCTCCCAGGCCTGCCCGGTGCTGTTACGACGACGCGCCTTCACGGGGTTTTTCTCAAGAGACAAAATGTCAACTTTTACTCCTGGTTTACACTCAAGAGTTTTAATTTAGAAGCACAGGCAAGAAAAATGCCATCTGTTTGTACAACCCCCCCGTCCGCGTTCCAGCCTGCGCTCTTCTGTTTGCAGCCAATGTACGACGGAAGCTGACGGCTCTTGCTTTTGTGCAGAACGTCACAGAATGGCTTCTGGCGCAGGACGCGGAATTCATTTATTCATTTGAAAAGCAAAGATCACACATCTGGGAAAGCTGGGGCGGGGGGGGTGTGAGGCAGCATTGTCCTTGTCAGGCTCAGAAGACAGCGCTGAAGATGATGCACTGGGGAGCAGCAAACTCTGGAAGGGTTTGTGCGTTGTGATGCTGAACAGCTTCTGGCAGAACGGGCATTTCTCTCTTCGGAGCCGCATCCTGCGCCTCCCCGTTAACCCCCATCCTGTGAGCCCCCTCCTCGAGG